TTTTTATTTTTTATTTTTTTTTTTTTTTCTATTTCCACCTCTTCGCATCTTGGTTTTTTTTTTTTTTTTTTTTTTTTTTTTTTTTTTTTTTTTTTTTTTTTTTTTTTTTTTTTTTTTTTTTTTTTTTTTTTTTTTTTTTTTTTTTTTTTTAATTTGGAGAATAACAGTTAAATGTTCGTATTAAGTATTTTTTACTGCCACTTGTTTCTGGCAATTCGTCCTCAACTTTCCCAATAGTACCTGTAACCATTCAGCATCATCAACAAATATCATGATTTTGGCCAGTTTCCAAGATCAAAATGTCTGGGAAAACTTTAAATTGGGATATTAGCAGTCCTTCAGATTTTTCAAATTGTCTACCAAAACAAACGCAATTTTGTTTTGTTCTTTTTGTTCTTCTCGTGAATGATAGGTCTCAATCCAAAGATCTATGTGCAAGATATAATCATAATTTTCCAGGGAGCACTCCTTTAACTTGACCACACGGTAACTTTGAAACTAGAAAAAATAGGATAACAAACATATGTGTTCGTGCCATCTCAAGCAAGCGGTCAAACCGCTAGTGAGCTAGTGTATACTTATGTTTATGCGGAGTTATCGACAAATTCTCATAATTAGGTTTTAGGCTGTCCGTAGACCGGGGAAGTGGTTATAGAGACTAGCAGAGCAAGCGATGTCAAACGCTGTGGGTGGAGCGTGCAGCTGTGTGGGCGGGGCTTGTCAAAAGGACTGCTCAAAGAGGCGAAAAACTGGATCGAGGCTTTAGAAGGAGGGAACTCAAATAAGCATAGTGGTCACAGCGTGCAAAAAGATGGGTGAAGCTGTCATGCAAATTTTGCAATTATTCTGAAAGATCGAAAAAACTATTGGAGATTGGCGAAAGATGGTATTGAAGCCGTCATAGCGGGGGGATCAAGCAGGGGATTGAGCGTGGCCAGGATTGAGTATTTCACTCGCTTTCCTCGGAGTAGTGTGCGGAGTGAAATTGCGTAGCAACTCATGTTAGGTTAAGTGGCTTTTCAGAAAATGAGGAGTCACAATCGCCATGTTTTCACCAAAAGCAATGCCAGAACCTGCGCCTTCTATTCACTACTTAGGGGCCCAAGAATCAAGAAGAGGATGTTTTGATTTTGTTTGTAGTGTTACACATTTGCAGCCAAATTGCGTCGAATTTATGGACTGGATTGAGACGGAAAATACGGCGTATATCGTGATGGAACTCGTGGCTGGTGGCGAGTTGTTTGATCGAATTGTGGATCAGAAATGGAACGGCATGGTTGGTTTGTAATAATCAAACAACAGGTGAACATCTTGAGAGCAGAGTTCCTTAACAGTTCTTACGGGGAGTAGATTTCGACAATCTCGCTTTAATAAGACCGCAACTTCATGTAGATGATGCAGGATTTAAGGACGGTTGAAGGGCTTGACTTTGACCAGTCTTTTTTTTCGAATGCGCCGCGCATACGTCTGGACGGGATTCATTCCGAACCCCTCTTGAACCAAAAACTGTGCGCGTGGTAGGCGGCGCCACTTGTCGTTACACCACTGACGGTTTTAGAAAAGGACGTTGCATCAGCAGGAGGAGGGGGTTGGGATTTGAATCAGGAAAAGTGTCTCTTATTTGCTCAAATAGACTTGAATGGATGTCAAATACTTGTCAATGTTCCTTCGAGTGAGTGGATCGATTGTGGGCTTATATCTACGCGTAAAAAAATGGCGTGGAAGAATAGCTCTCATTCACGGAGAGTGCTCAACCTCCAAATATTAGAAAATAGTATCTAATTGTAAGATGTTACTGGACCCCTTTTTTGGAGAAAAAATTAGCAAATGATATTTAGGGTTTCGGTGAAGAGCTGTGCAAGTTTTACGGGTGGCAACTTCTCAGTGCGGTGGAGGTGAACCTTGACTTCTTATCACAAGTATTCAGTACCGTTCTCTGTTTTGAAATTAGTATCTATCTATTCAGTACCTCCACGATCGCGGAATCACACATCGTGACATAAAACCGGAGAACATTCTATGTATGACGAAAGAGGACTACACTCTTGTTAAGGTGCATCCTTCACTGTCATTTCACTACTGTAGTCTTAGCGCTGACCAGTTAAAAGCAGAAGGCACAATAGATTAAATATTGAAGACTGGGGAATGTGCCTGCGGCGAAGGGAGGCTAGATCCCAAGGGAAAAGAAATTTGTGACTTTCACGATGAAGGGTGCTCCCGCAGCATCTTATCAATAGTCTACATGTCTCTCTGGAGCCTTCATGTCACTGACCGTTCTCTGAGAGGTTAGCTCTGTTGTTGGCTTCTCGCCCTTGGACTCTATCCGATGTAGAAAAGAGCAGGGCATAGTTTGATACGTTAGCACCAAAAAGACCCGGGCCTTGTTGCGGATTTTGGGCCGCTTCATTTGGTTTCTTCTTCATGACTGTACCACCAACCATCCAGCTTTCGTTTCTGATGAACGACCAATTTATCGTGCCTGTTCTTAACTAACAACTGTATTCTCATTGGGCGACATTACCCTGATCTAGGCTATTGAGAGATGCTTCTTTTAGCGTCATGCTCTCACAAATCATTCATGCAAATAGAATTGTATTCATTAAGAACCCTCAGTAAGGAATGACTAGGACGATAAGAATGCTATGCATAGTTATTTGACCATGTTTAGCTACGTGTTATTTACCTCTTACTCTGCATTCTTGTGGTAGTCGCATGGCGAAGTGCGTTCAAAAATAGCTGTTAACAACCAAAAACTAGAAAAACCCTTGGAACTAGTGGAGTTGTGACGTCGTACCTCTTCGCCTTACCACGTGCTGCCTCGCAGCTAAGGCGACACTTTACTCTCTTTCTTGTTGCGGATTTTATGAAGACGAAAGCACGGAAACTGTTAAAAAATACCACCACTGGCTAAGAAATAGCGTGTCTTTTCACCATATTCCGAGATTATAGCTTCTTTTCAAAATTGTAACATGATTTTCAGTTGGCAGATTTCGGACTTGCAAAAGGAAACGACGCCTCAACATTGAAAACTTATTGTGGAACACCAGCTTACATGGCGCCTGAGATGATTGATAATGATCGGTTGCCGTATAACCCAAAAGTGGACATTGTAGGTTGGAAACAATACTATCATTTTTGTTAATTGGTTCTCAAAAAGCTTCATCGTTGTCCAAAGTGATTGTCTATGTGTGATGTTGTCAGGTGGAGTCTTGGGTTGTGTTGTTCACTGGTATTTGTGGATATCCGCCCTTCAGCGATGATTACGCTGATATGGATTTGAAAAGTCAGATAAAAACAGGTGAGGCGTGATTTACTGGGACAATGTTTATCTGCAATCCGAAGTTTCCATACTAAAAACTGCCCTTCCACAGAATGACCCATAACTATATTGTACTGTACTTTGACCTTCGATTCTGAGGGTATCCAGTATTTTTTCTAGGCTAGCACCTTTATTTCCCATAACCCGTCGTGAATTACCCCGAAAATTTCACAACTTACCGTTAGGTCTATATCTCATGCTGCGTCTAAAGCCCAGCAGAGGACTTCACTTCTCTTACAGCAGGTCCAGGGTGAATATTAGTCGAGGATTTCTCTACCGGCACGTCGAGGATTTTTGTCCTGATCAGTTGCGTTCTCCCGCGCAGACATTCACACTCGCCATGCGCGAGCCGTCTGTGCTCTCCACGCGTACGTTCACTCTCGGCACTACTCTCGCACAGTGCAGAGCCATGGTCGTGGAATTTCGCGACGTTATCCACCATGGTTAGATCGACATTCGCGGCTAATGAATAGCGCGTGACATATTTTACCGTTACTGGACCGTTCTGTGGCTACTGATGCCGATGAAGAAAAGATCAGTGAAAGTAGGCTTCATAGCGCCGCCTCGTTAGGTTGCTGTTGGATTTCCAGCAGACTTGGCAGATAGAATCGACGCGACACCAGGGTAAATTGAGGGGGGTTTATGCAAGAACAGCTAAGGGTTTACAGATTTCGGAGAGATGGACCATGATCTTATAGCTGAGCAGGCCTCGCGCTCATCGAAGCAAGGGTGAATACGAATAGACAAAAAGTGTTAAGGTCGGTAGCAATGGGCGGGAGTCGGTTTGTCATTTTATCGGACAGTACAAGTTTGACTGATTGGAAGCGACAATCGTTTGACTCGAGGACCGATCCGCATATGGAATTTGAGGAATGGAACGAATGGCAAGAAAGACATTGACATGATAGTATTCCCTACATGCAGCGGCAGTTGAGGTGCCAAAATGCCAAAGGGGATAAACTCGACCGATACTAGTAGGTTGTACGAAAGAATAAGGTTTGCTGTTGGATGTTATACCTAGCTATGTTTCATACCTTACTAAGTATTCGCCAGTTCGGAATGATGTTTTTTCAGTAGGCGTTAGGATGGCCGACCAACAATTCTAAAAGTGGTGATCACTCTGAGTTTCAATCTTAGAGAACGAAATGGCGTGTACCATCCTTGATTTCAACGTATACTCACCATCATATGTGATCTGTATTAGGGACAAAACCTTTACTCAAAGGAGGATTACCGCGTCCTTCAATACGTAAATATCTGGCTGGAGATTGTGTGCAACCACCTGCGGATACATCCATTTGGAGAGTAGTTACAAGCTAAGGAACAGATTGCAATACTCGTGGGACACCCTGTACTACAGCCATAATTAGTTCATACTGATATACTCACGACCACTCCTCTGAAGGTGCGTACTGCTTGCTGCTGTGAAAGCAAAGTGAATAGGAAACTACGAAAACGTGGCGTATGAGGGGGTATCCTCAAACAGACGCAATTTTTCATAAACCGCTTCCAAAATAGCTTCTGGAAGTTTTCTTTTCTTGCAACATGTGGCCCGCCCTTCACATGAGGGAGACTTGTTTTTTCAATTCATTTCATGCGGTGTTCCTGTCCTAAGTGGTCCTTATGCATTATCGGATCCGGAAAATAACCAGTTCAATTGTATTAGTGGAATTACAAATGGAATTATTGAGTGATGAAAGTTACAAAAAAAGGTGCGGAGAAACACCCACAACTGCTGTGTCATGTGCTGTTCTACTTCTATGGGCTTCGATAATATTTTTATGATTCCTCAAACAGCAAAGAAAGCAAATATCTAAAAGCTCTGTCTATTTATAGTGCAAAAGTAATTTTAGGACGCCTCGTGTTTCCAAAACCAATGGAAATTCGTGACCCTAGAAACACAGTTTGTCATCAAATCGATGCTCAGAGTTGACGTGAGTGATTTGTCTCAAAACCACTTTATCTATTACTTTATCTTTCTTTCTTTTTCTTTCCTCTGCAAATCCTCATGGTTCGACTCCTGGAACCCCCAGAAGGCGGAAAAAAGATTAGAGGTCAGAGAACGAGGGAGGTTAACTATTGATTCTGGCGTAGCGCGCACGAAAGTGGGCGGAGTTCGTCACCGAACTCATAACTCGGTTCCAAGAAGATCAGGAGACCGAGAAAAAAGTGAGCTTGGGTCTAACAATTGAAAGGAATGCTACCAACGGGCGTGGCACGCACCGAGCTGGACATTTTGCCACGAAATATTATAGTT